AGGACCCAGGCGCGCCTGTCGGCGGCGAGCTATTTAAACTGGCCATTGAAATGTCCAAGTTGCCGTATGGTCTTGATCCTCTGCTTGTGCTCTGATCCTGTGAGTGTACCTTGTTGCCGAACCCAAACTGATCCTGATTACTGCTGACCGTCTCCTGCCCTGACCCCTGGCTTGCCTTTGACCACTCTTCTGCCTGCTCCTGATTGTCTGACCTCCTGTTGCTGAACTTGGCCTGTGACCCGACTATCCTCTGCCTGCTGCTCTGTTCCGTTCTGCCTCCTCAGTTACTGACCCAGCCTGTCTGACTCCGCTACTTGCTTCATGGTGTGTCCGCATCCATACATCCTGCACGGATCCACCCGTTAACCGCTCAGGTCTGCCCTGCCTCTTCACATCAGACTCTTATCCAGCTACGTCCCACTGGCAGTCCTCTCTACTACAGTTGGGTGTACCCGGGGGCTGCGACCTGGTCTCAGCCTGCTCTAAGTCCATCCCCACCATCAGGGGCCCTGGTGAACAAGCAGACTGGGGCTTAGACTCCACGCCCTGGGGAATCCTGGACTGTGAATCCGTAGAGCTACCGTTACGAGTAAGTGACACCGACGATCTTTTTGTAGTGAGGATCTTTGTTATTGCCTAAAAATTTCTGTACGACTTCTTTAAATGCAATCCACCCTTCTTTTTGAGGATCCGTCATGGTATTGACAAACTCTTGATAAAATATAAGCCTTCTAATGTCTGGTCCGACGAACACACCTTCCTTCGATTTTGCCTCCGACAGTCCTGGAAGCTTGGTGACCAAGTATTTGAAGCATTCTCCATCTCTTGGAAGTGATTTTACGAATTGCTTCATCAATCCCAATTTTATGTGGAGGTGTGGTAGAAGAACTTTATGGGAAGGTACCAAAGTTTCTCGGAGGACATTTTTTTCACCGACTGTTAGCACCCTCGGCTGCAAACTCTTCTTGGTCCAGTGATTTTGTCGGTCTCGACTGTCCCATAGACACAGAAAACAAGGGTATTTGGTATACCCAGCTTGTTGCCCGAGCAGCATGCACAAGACCTTCAAGTCCCCCACACACTTGCCAACCATGGTCTTCATATTTAAGTTTACGAAGAACCAATTCCAAGTTCTTGTAGGTTTCCTTCAAGTGTACGGAATGACCTACAGGTATGGAAGCGTAAAAACCACCGTTGTGGAGTAAAACTGCTTTGAGACTTCTTTTTGAAGAATCTATAAAAAGACGTCATTGCTCTGAATCATATTGGATTTTAAATTGACCCATCAGACCTTCGACATTGATGCAATAAACCAACTTGTCTTCCTGGGTGAAGTAAGGAACGAAATCCTTTTCACGATGTCTGAACCATGAAGATGACACTTCTGGCAATAATAAATTCCTGCTTTTTCAGCCTTGATCCGAGTAACTCAGCGGCATCTTTGGGAAGATTCAAGTCTCTTCCCAAATCATTCATCTCCTCCTGAGAAAACAATTTTGGTCTTGTATCATCTTCCAGTCAAGCCTTGATTTGTCATCTGGTTCAGATATGACTTCACCTTCATTGGAACTAGGTATCTCTTCCAAGGTAGCAGGGGGCTTGGGTACTGGTATATCTGTGCCATGGGGGATGGGACGAATTGCTGAGTGAAGATTGGGGTATGAAATGGAATGCTTCCATTTGGAATTAAATCCTTTCACATCGCATGAACAAACGTAACAGTCGTCACTATGGTTCTTTTGCTCTCGCCATACCATAGGAATTTTTTCTTATCCTTGAACCAGTTTCGGAGGTCCTCAACACACTGTTTGCACACTTTATGAGGCGCCCAAACTTTATCTTGATCTCCAATTTTTAGTCCAAATTATGCAAAGTATACCTTTTTCACAGTCTGTAATATTCTGCTGTTGCTTCAACACTGTATATTCACCACAGATGAAACAGAAACTGGCAAATTAATACACTTTGGCGGAGCCATAACATAACGGTTGAAGAATGACGAGCTGCGATGACACGAACTGCGATGAAAAAGTGTGAACAGCCTAGAACCAAGATTCAGAAAAAATGAGGAAGGGTTGTAACAGCGCAAACACTGCAAAGTCCTGGGAAATGGTAGTATGGGGTGATTGTGGTATTAATGGCTACTGTATGAAGAGCGTAGGATTCCGTGTGGCCCTGAGCCGTGGTAGGCGGAAGTGTGCTCCTTTTTCAAGCTGCTTGAAAAAGGAGTGCACTTCCGCCTTCCACGGCCAGTGCATGCTCTGAAACGCATTGCAGTGCACCCTGGGATCTGACGTCATCACGGCCACGCCGCCGCTACATTCCAGTGTGCGTTCCATCCGGCTCTGAGGGAGGACGTGCACGCCGGCCGGCCTCACCGCTGTTCCCCTCCAGCCACCACGCTGTTCCCCTCCAGCCACCACACTGTTCCAGCCGAGAGCTGACCTCCCCACATCGCAGTAAGATGACGGCTCTTCACCCGGGTTACCACCCCACCGTTAACTATTGTTAACCACGGCTTTAAAGCTTATGATTACTTCACACATGTGAGTGTTTCTACATTTAGACTTGAATAAAAAGACTTATTGCACTTAGAGGCGCTTCTCTCCTTCTCTAGCCTAGAACCTGATAATGATTCGTGCACAAGTGTGGACTTCAGGAGAGAGCAGCTCTGCATCTGTACACGAGACGTCACAGTGCTGGCCACGCCCCCCTGCTTTGACCGGAGCTGCTGCTATATGCCTGTGTCTCCCTCCCACTGGATTCTTCAGGAAAGATTAACCCCTTCTACCATTAGAAGCGCAGACTCAGGGCTGAGGCTTACACATACAGCATGCTGCTGAGTATCCCAGTAGTTAGACATGTCACTCAGAGCAGCACTTGTATTCACCCCTTTGCAGGGGGGGGAGGGGCAGAGATTGTTTACCTGCAAATAACAACAAAGGGCCAGAAGAGAACTAGGGAAATGAGGAAATAGAATTTTTTTCCCCTAAAACTTGCTTAGCTTATGTATATATTGCTGACCATCAGATTTACAGTGCTATATTTTTTTTTTACATAACTCGGACAACCCCTTTAGTTTTTTTGGCATTTTATATCTTAAATGCACTTATGAGAATTACTTAATAGTAATTTGGACTTTAAATTTGGTTAAAAACCCATAATATATAAAAAAAAAAAAAAATTAAAAAAATTTGATAAATTTGAAGACAATTTTGCATTTTGTGGCAAATCATGACGTCTAGGAGTGTTTTCAATATTTTATTTGTTTTCAGCACACCAAAATACATGGAAATTAGATGGAAATAATCAAACAGCTTTTTAGTCGCAGACCTGTGTAATAAATGCACATTTTTTTTTTTAAGGTAAAAAATTTTACATTTATTATGTTCTGTTGCAGGAGCCTGGAAAGCATTGCACCAGCGATCAGCAGATTGCTGGTGCCATGCAGGACTCCAGAAAACCTGTTACTATATTTGCTTGCCGGTACATCCCATCTGAGCAAGCCGATACACTCTGACAGGAAGAATCAATGAAATACAAGCCGACAGCCACTAAGGCTGTCGGGACTTGTAGTTTTCTCATTCATAAAATACTGTGAATGAGTGATGCGGCCGGGTGGGTGGAGCCCCGTGGGGCCACATTTAAAAAGAAATTTTGACAGCTAGTGGGAGAAGAAGATGCCCAACTAGCTGTCAAAGCGGGGGGAGAAGGGGCCAGTGCTTTCATAACATGTTACACCCTGAATATGGGTGCAACATGTAACATGTTCTGAAAGGTGAACTTTTCCTTAAACATATTTCACCAACTTCACAAAGCCAAAAAGGAGCAATGTAGAGACCGTTAGTAAAGTCTTTTCTCATCCAAGGTTTACTTTAAAAGGTTAGATTACTCAAACTATTTTTCAGTTTGGACAGATATTATTCAACTATTTTATGTTCTGGAAACACATGGAGGCAGGGACTGTGTATGCAATCGCAGGCTTAAAGCCAGGGGAGGTATAGCAAGACACTACAATGCAGAGATCTTTAAATCAAAGTTCCGGAGTGATAATCAAAGATAATTACTTAGCCTTATTAAATACTAGTTTTGGGTGGACTAACCCTTTAATCTTTTATACCTGGTGTAACAACCCACTATCTTTCTGAAGCAAGCTTCAGATATACGAGCACACTGGTCAACATAATCAGAAGCATAGAAAAAAAAAAAAGGCGCAAGATCTCTCCCAAACCATGTTTATAATTACTATATTTCAAATAAAGCCTAACTCCTGCTTTTTTTTTTCCTTTCTTTTAAATAGCGTGAGGAAGGTTAGAGTATTTTTTTTTTTTTTTTAAATATAGTGCCTGTGTCTCTTTTGAAGACATTTCAACTCACTCCTCATGGGACACAGATAAAAATAAGACTCTAACAGAGGTTCAACCCCTTGTTGTTGTGTACCTGTCTGGGGGAGATTTCTCTCAGCAAACTGTTCTGTGTGACATACATTATCTGACAGGAAGTAAAACAATAACAATTAGACACAAGTTATAACCCCACCTCCTCTATCCAAAATTTAAAATTTGAGCATGGAGTGAGGCAGTAAAAACCTGGTGTCTTGGAGACCAAAAATTCCTACTAAGATCTGCCAATCATGACAGCCCTAGCTGGGCAGGTATTCATAGTTTGTATGCCAACTACTCACTGTTTTGGATGGACACTGGCAGGATCAATCAAACACTGGCTTGTCCTTTGAAGTGAAAGAAAAAAAAAAGGAGAGAGGAGATGGGGGGGGGGGGGGGAGAAAGAAAAAGAAAGGGAGATAGATTAAGAAAAATAAAGAAAGGTTAAGGAAAGAGACTACAAGAGAGAAAGAGAAAAAGCACCAAGTTTTGATATTCTATAATATTTATATAGAAAATCTGAAGTGTAATTTTTTGTTGTTGAGCTTCTGCACCTACAGTTATGTTGACTGATGAATAAGAAAAAAATAAAATAAAAAATAGCATGCCTCTACTTACGTGCAACTCCAGAGACTTTAAACTAAGGTCAGCGAAGGCATCTCCTAGCTGCCTCTGGGTCTGCACCATCTGATAAAGCTGTGAGGAGAGCGTCTGTGCCAGTTTCAGTACATATTCATACTTCTTTTTATTGTCTCTCAGGATTTCTATTTGTGCTTCTAGTTCCAGATCTACAGTTCTTGAGCCACGACCTAGCCTCTCGGAGATGATCTGGCGTGTACACTGAATGGAGAAATATGTAGCATTAGTATACATACCTGTGATTAGACCAATATGATAGAATGTTGATTATACTGAACAATTTTTACACCAAGTACAAATTAAGTACATGCTGTGTATGCATTAAACAGTTCCTCAGCAACAAATAATTTCTAATGCAGAATCCCTTTCATTCTAACTGCCCCTGTTGACACTTTTACAGTGTCGCCCTGCGCTCTAGTACTTGGTTTTTTTGGGCCCCGTAGAAGTCAACCGGAGTGCCTGTGAACATGATACGTGCATTTTTGTGTCTGAAGAACTCTCTCTCCTCCTACAGAACTGCTCTCCTCCCCTTGCTCAGCCCAGGAAACATATGCCTAAAACTTGAGACACATACAAAAAACACTTGCATAAAGCTTGTAAAAGGCCTAAAAAATGCTTCAAAATCACCAAGAACACGTTCTGGTAATGCTCTGTGTTGTGAATGTGTTGAAGCTCAGCTTTGGTAAGCGTAAGTTTTGAAATGGATTGTAGATAAAAAGGGAAAAAATAATTTTCCAAAGTGGTAAAAAGAATCTTGGCCATCTGACCAGAGGTTCCAATCAACATTCGAGTTCCAAGCCAGCTAAACCACTAGAGCAGAGCAGTGCCACTGCCAGCAAGTACAACAATGAATCAGCGATCATCACAAGGGAAAGAAGGATTCATGTAAATTGACATTAATATAATTATTATAAGATAACATCTATTAACAACCAAAAGCTAATTATAAAACTGCATGAAAGAAAAACAAAAGCTTTTGTAGTTTTACATGACCAACTGGCTTTCACTTTTTAAGCTTTATCTTGTACATCATCAAAAGCATGAACATAGAAAAGATTAATTAACAATAATGGGACTTTAAGGGTGCCAGCCAATCAAAACACAAATTGTTCAAAAGATACTTTATTACAATATGTATCATTTAGTTAGAGCCCCAGTTCACAATGGTGCGACTTGTCATGCCACTTGAAAGATCAAAGTCTCATGACAAGATAAACCCTATTTGCCCCTATGGAACCGTTCAAATCGGCATGACTCAAGTCCCAACTTTGAAAAAGGTTCCTGCACTATTTTTGTGCGATTTTATCTGCAGCTTCCATTGACATCTGCGTACGCCACACATGAAGTTGCACTGATCGGTGGCTTTGAAATCGCACTGAAGTAGTGGGACTTCAAAGCAACACCGGTGTGAACCAGGTAAAAACCTTATGACAGTAAAAGATTTTTTGGATTGATGGGTAACTACATTCAGTGGTTTATGTCAATTGATAGGGGTTATTCTATATGCTTCTTGAATATACGCTATGTACTTACTCGGTATGAGGGGTGTACTATTGTATATAGTCCTATGCAGTCTGCTCTCCAACGCTCTTTTAATGTCATAAGGTTTTAACTGAATGATATATACTATAATAAAGTATCTGATACGCAATGTATGCTTTTTGATTGACTGACAAGTGACAACCAATCCCATTGTATTTAATGAATCGTGTTTTATTCCTTAGATGAATGCAAACAAGAAAATTGTTGGTCGTTATAGGCAACCAAAATTTTTATCTCCATTTCTCCATAGTTGCAAAAACATACATATTTCTCTCTCTCTCTCTAATAAAACACATTTGGACATATGCATGCCCTTTATATGTTTCCACTCTAGTGATTCATGCCCCATAACAAGCCAGGAAGTCTTTTTAAATAAAATGCACCAAATTCATAAAGACTGGAAAAAGGGAAAAACTACATGTGTTGCCCATATTAAGCAATCACATCCTTAATTCTATTTTCTCAGGTCCTCTAGAATATTGAACCGGAATTCCTGTTTTTCCTTTATTCAGTTTTTATGAACGTTGTCCAGTAGGGTTGGCTATTGTCCAGGCTTAGTGTCCAAACTGAGCAAGTGCAAAAACCACCATCCTGGGACAGGGAAAAAAAGGAATTTTATGGCATTTTCTAACAGATAAAAAAAGCACTCTACATAACATAAACCATCTATTGTTCCAAAGAAAGCAAGATAACAACAAAATGGTAATGGCACCTAAAACGCAGTGTGCCTTTGATGTGTTTGTTGTGTGATAAAATGCTCAACAATCACAGCAAAACCACACCAAGTAATGGTACCTGGTTTAAAAATTAATGGAAGACAAACATGTGCTCTGCGTTTTGCCAGCATTGCAGTGTAATTTGGAATCTCGGGCAGAATCACAGCGATTCTACCCATGATTCCAAATTGCTAGACATGAACATGGCCTAACAACAGCAATGGAAGACTCAGCCCAGCCTCAATCATTATCTTTGCAAATGGCTACAATCTCTCAGACCGGAATAACTAGTATGAATAAACAGAAGAATGTCAGCTGCAGAACAGCAGTGGTAAGCTAGCCTGAGGACTGAAGGGAAAGAGAGACACACCTGGGGAGAAGAGCAGAAGCCCTGTACCAGCCAGTAGTTCATCCATGTGCTGGGCCCGCGGCTACACGGCACAGCATTCTGCACTCAAGGACCCAGGCAAAGCTCCTTCCCCCAAACCGAAGCCAGGAAGCAGCACTGCATGGAGCCAATAGGAATAGAGCGGTGGGCGGGACAGGCGCTGGTAGCTCCCACTCTACTCAGTGCTGCCTCGGCACTGGTTAGAGACCTCTTCCATGCGAGCAGCGAAAAGACAGTGTCAGCCCTCCCTGACAGCCAGGGGGTGTAAACAGCAAGAATGCCAAGTGCGGAATGATGCACAGTGCACTGACTGCCAGAAATCAACTGTATAGTGTCCCTGCTCTGATGTCGGCTGCACACAGCACCTGCGACAGGCAGCACAGCAGGGACACCATGCAGTTGATTTTTGGCAGGACGTCCTGGGAGGGTTTGAATTCCCTGACCCCCTTCCCTTAGTTACGTCCCTGATTATACAGCATATATCAGCTTTGGAACTAGCACCTCTAACAAGACTCAAGTAGTGACAACCGCAGGTATTGTAGGTTTGCTTCAGCTTAGACAGCTATACGCAGATCTATATGGTTTCCATTAAAAAACAAAAACATTTTTACATCCAGTTTTGTGACAAAATATGGAATGTTTGGATGTGGCAAGCTCATTTTGGAGGTGTTGTGTTTTCTTCATAGAAGAGGAATGTTTTTGCATAGAGCAGCCCCGATCCTCTTCGGTTTGGGTTTCTCCCCTGTGGTCCTGGCTCCTCCCCCTGCCGAGTGCCCCCAATAGCAAGATTCTTGCGATGGGGAACTCGAGCAGGCTCGCTCCCAAGCTGCAATCCTGTGAATCGACACTGCTGCTGCTGCTCCACTCTCTCCTTACTGGCTCACTAGCTGTGATTAGAAGCTGCTGCTGTGTAAGCCAATGAGGAGAGAGCGACCCGGCTCTCATGCACATCGCTGGATCGAGATGGAGCTCAGGTAAGTAATAGAGGGTGCTGGGAGGGAAGATGCACCCTGGTGGCTTTTAAGTTCATGCATAGACGCATAAAGATCAAAAATCTTCTGCCTTTACAACCACGTTAAGCACCCCATATGCTCACAAGTGCCCATTGCTATTTGAATGTTGATACCTACACATCAATTACTGCTATCAGTTGTATCTGTTAGGTATCAGAACAGGTAGCCCACTTTAAAGAATATGTAAACACAACATTTCATATTTCTGATATGTGCCTGCTGTACTATGTACTTGTATGAAAAAGAATTCTGTTCTCTTTGTATTACTTCCTTTGTGTAAAATCCAAAATACATTGTGTTCCTGCGGGGTCACAGACAGCAATAAAACCTGACAGGGGCTCTAACTATCCATCATTGTATCCAAATCTAAATAAAGGTTTTGCCTTTTCCTGTACTTTAAAGTGGTAGTAAAGTCACATTGTGTATTTTTACCTACGACCTATAATAAAGCTTAGCTGTAAGTAAAATTATTATCTCTTAAACTTTCACCGTTTAGGAGATATACTATGGAATAGTAGCTGATGCCAATACCAGTGCACGCGATCTGAAGGAATGGCATACCCGTGCTGTTCCTTCAGGGCTGTGTGCTGCTGCCGAAACTCCTGCCCGTATGCGTGCCAGTGACGTCATCGGCAGCTTGACCATTCAAGCAGCAGCAGTCCGCAAACCCAGAAGGAAGACTGGGGGAAGATGGAAGCCTTCTGCAGTAGTGATAGCGTGCCACGAAGGGCTTCTTTCTAGGGTAAAGTCTTTCCTAATGTGCTAGCATGCGATGAATACCAGCACATTATGATATTACCTTGCAGGGAGAGGATTTATTTATTTATTTTATTCTTAAAGTCAAGTTTACTACCAGTTTAAGTTCATCAGTTTATTTTCCACACTTTGGTGAACCAAGATACATTTCATGTCTGCAGAAATGCATAGAAGTCTTTAAGATTACCTCACGGGGAACAACTAAATTTTTTAGATGAAGGGCAACATTGGAAGGATTTACAAACAATTTATAAAAGAATACACCAAGGGCCTCTATAGCAAATATAGAAAATTGACAGATGCAAATATAGCTGCAATCATATCAAACGCCAAATTGCTGCTGACTCCATCCTAAATAAGTAAATAGGTGCGGTCACCGAAACTCATCAACAAATCCTTCAACAATCAAGGGTGAACTAAGAGAGGAAGTATCAAATGGGTCCCATTTGAAACTTAATTTCAGGGGTACTCTTTCACCCTTGATTGTTAAAGGATTTACAACACTACAACTTGTTGCATCTACTACATGAGTAGACATCTGGGTATATTGCACATTTTATTTTTTGTAGTAAAAATATAACCATTAGGGGTCAATTCACTAATACTTATCGCATATGATATTTGTCTTTATACAAAATATCAAATGTGATATTCAATGCACCAATTCACTACAATTAAATGCCACAAAACGCGGCACTTACTTGTAATGAATATCAAAAAAAAAAAAAAAAAAAACCTGATATTGCATTTAACTCAATTCACAAAGAAACAAAAAGGGTTACAATC